TTTTTCATGAACCAATCTTCTTTTACCTCCCGTTCTATTCAAGATCGACAGCTAATATTGCTTATTTGTCTCTAATATATTTCAGCGTATAATATATTAGTTGAACACATATACTCTGCCTCTTCTCTCTTTCTCTCCCCTAAGCTTTTTTTCCACTTATCCTATATACTTCGAATGCCTTCCGGTCATTTTCAACATATTCGCCGCACAGTCAACTAAATTATTACATAGTACCTATACGCAATGTAGAGTACTATAGATGGCGTTACATGGAAAGGGGTAGAAGAAGAAGAAGAAGAAGAACCAGAAGGAGGAGGAGAAGAAGGGCAAAGAGGGAGAAGAGGAGGAAAGAGAAAAAGATAAAAGAGAAAATTGCAAGACGAGAAACTGTAAAAAGTGTGAAATTGATATATAAAAAAGTAGAAGAAGAGGGACACGTTGTTAATAGTTAAATTAGAAATTTGGTTCATGTCTTTCCAATTTCCTTTTCTACTTTTAGAAAAAAAGTTGCCACCTCTGATTGATTCTAAATTTGAGTTTTTTTCTTCTTCTCTTTTTCTTCATAGACGCTATTTTTTTAATTGCTCTACTTCTTGCTTTCTAAGCTTTCTTTCTTTCTTTCTCTTTCTCTTTTCCGTTTCCTTTCAACGCCTTTATATTTTCAATTGTCCCTGTTTCGCTCTCATTTTTTATACTAATTTTTAAAGCTCGTAAGATAGATGACTCTTTTCGGCATAAATCCTTCATTTAGCTAATGAAGAGACGCTTGTTTTATACGCCTCCTAAACATAAATACTAGCGTCGATACATTTCCCCCTACCGTATATTTATCATTTCAATTTGTTACGTCATCCACTCATTGCTCTTCTTTATCTCTTATTTAATTGCTAATTTGGTTCTTAGTTTTAATTAAACAATTCCATCTAACCATCTAACCTCCCTGTCTGCCTGTCTGCCTATCTGCTAGCTTCTCTCTTTCTCTCCTAGTCTATCTTCAACAGCACACCCCTGCCTCTCTCTCTCTCTCTCTCTCTCTCTGCCTTTAACCTCTTCTCTACTCCCATCTGTCATTTTTATCCATCATTCACCGTATGAATTATATTAATGTGAAGGAAAAATGTTCGGGGCGATCCTCAATCAACTTCTGTCTAATCTAACGCCGTATTTAGGTGCGAAGCGCAAGATCCCCATTCTCAAGGCCTATTCGCAGGGAAACACCAGTAGAACTATAAGAGACATCTAGCGGAACTGTAAAGCGCAATTTTACGTTGCCTTTCGAATTATTAAACGCTTCTGTTCGGGCGTCACTCGACAGGTAAATCGATTTGATTGCGAAGCGTCTTTTTGATTTTTTACATTGTATAAACAGAATTTGTTGTATTAAAAATCGATTCTCTGGATAAACAAATCGTTTTGTTATTTTGGATGTCGTTAGAAGGTTTGTTCGTTATTTTTCTCTTATATTTTTATCCGCCTTCATCAACATTCTCTCCCCTCCCACCGTCATATTTCTCTTCTTTCATCTATGTTGGTTTCTTCCTATTTCTTCGTATTCCTCCTCCTTCTTCTCTTCTTCTCCTTCTACTTCAAATCCATCTTTTCTGATTCAGATTTTGTTGCTAAACTTGAATATTTCTTGTTTTAAAATGCTAAACGTTAAGGGCGGAAATTCTCTTATAAAAAATTAAAGCCTTTTTCATCAATGGCCGTTTAATCGAAATTGCAAAATTGCTAGAATATTTCCTGTACTTAACCCTTAACAATAATCCAACAATTATTAAGTATCATCTCCGTTGCTTGCATGGCAACGGTGGACTAGAGAGAAGAGAATGAATCTGCCTTTTACTCAGTCTATTTCTACAGCAGGGAGAGTAATACTAGTCGAGTCTGTAAAAAATGAAGCGAGGTTATAGGCCGTATTGGGAAAAATCAGACACGAATTAGGGAGAGGGGGAGAGGGGACAAGGAAAAAAAAGAGCGAGAGCGGGAGAGAGAGAGAGACATAGCGAGCGAATAGATAGATTGATAGATACATACAATGCTGCACGCTGGCTACGCGTTGTCGATAATAGCACAATAGGCTTTATGAGAGACGTTGGTCTACATACACACACATACTTTCTTTCTCTCTCTCTCTCTCTCTCTCTCTCTCTCTCTCTTTCCTCCTCTCTTTGTCACTCTGCCACGTATATATATATATATATATATACATAATATAGTATATACTATTCATGGAAAAATCAACAAGAGAACAAATACGTCTATCTTGTTAATAAAAAGAAAAAGAGAGAAAGTGACGCTATCCTTATTTTCTCTTCCATAAACAAACAATTGGTTAGCTGACGACATCATCAATAAAAGGCTAATAGCGAAATGTCTTCTGCTCGGATTCTGTTACTTCTTGCGGTGTTAGTATTACCGATAAGGGACGATACTAAACCATGCAGCTGCCATGTAGCATAACGTCTTACGGCGTCTAGTATCTAGATCAATATTGTGCATAATTTATATACGTCCAGTTACTTATTCTTTGCCGAAAAAGAAATGTCAAATTGAATGATTTCTTTTCTAAATGTTGCAAATGATTCTTATTCTTTCATTTCTTATCTTTTCCAATTTGAAATATGGCCGATTTGACGACAACTTCTGTCTTGTTTGGCTAAATGCCATCTTAAATAATTGACTATCCAATCCTTACTTTTCTCTGTCTTTCATACTTCCATCGGCGTAATTTGGATTAAATTCTATTTATAAATTTCGGATATTGTCAATTATTAACAAGTACTCAATTAACGCTCATTAAAAGACATATTTCCACTGCAAATTGGAGAGGGAGTTCGGGATAAACTAGGATTAGTTGAATTGGCGAATTGGTCGACAGGAAGAATTAGTCGGAAATACAGAATGATAGAAAGAGGCCGACAGAAAAAGAAAGAGGGAGAGAGAAAGAACGAGAGTGAGAGAGTGAGGAGGAAAGATGAAAAAAAAACATTTAGCCTACGAGGCTCTTCTGACCTATGGAATAAAAAAACTATCTTCCTTTATAGTAGGCTTATATATTATTCAGAATTACTCCGTTTGTTAAGTTTCATCTTCTGAGAATATTCTTCCTATCTGCTAGTTATTATTCCTGGAAAAATATAGAAACAGATAGAACTGTAAATGATATAAAAAGATGAAAGGAAATAAAAGAAGAGAGAAGGTAGAAAGAGCGGGAGGAGGGATAGAGAAAGAAAGAAAGAAAGAGAGAGAGAGAGAGAGAGGGAGCAGAAAGTGAAAGAGAGAAATGAAGGAATATACAGAGATGTGAGCGTAGATTTGCAGCTGGTTTTGTTATCACTTGATTGCTAAACCAAGATATGGAAATTTCCAACTGTAAAACAGATTTATTCTTTCCCTCATCTCCTCTTCCTCCTTCTCTTCCCCTCTTTCTCTCCACTTCACCAGGCATTTTTTCCCTCAATACTGACGAGTGCATCCTCATCTTAAACCCATCTCTCTTATCTTTTTTTTATTCTTATTCATCATTATCATTATCCCTTTTCTCTTCCTCTTCTTCTCTTTTTCCCACTAAATCATCATTCGCCATCTCTACCATTCGTATAGCTCATTTATTGGCAAAAATGCAAACTAATGGCAAGGGAAGAGGAAAGTAACCTTTAGGCTGGTTTATATATAGGATTATTACGTAAGCTGATGTACGGCAACATGAAATTGTGTAAAAGGCGGTGGGCCGTAGGCGTTTAATGTTTGTCTCATACTTGATAAGAAGATATTCCCTTATAAATAAAGTTGAATTGTCAGCTAATGTCATTTCAAACATAAATTTTCCAACTACTATACAATTTGTATGTTTTTCATTATACTCATTCTCTGCCTCTCTCTCTCTCTCTCTCTCTTTTTCTCTTTCTCTCTTTGTCGCTCTCTTTTGTTCGTTAAATAGAGGGAAAGAGTGACAAATACCTTACTTATATAATTCATAAATCATGACTGGATTTTTGATATTTCGGCCTCATAAATAGAGATAGAGTTGTGTATGAGTTGAATAAGAAGCATACCTACTTTTTCTATTAAAGAATCTTGTAGAAAGATAGTTCTGCTCAGAGATTTATTAAACAAAGTCGTAATCAGACAGTATGAGCCTCAAAATGGGATGACGGGCCGCCTGGGTGCTGGAATGGAACGTGAAAGGTCAAGGGTCAACGATAAATGTTGCTATAGCGAAATATAAGGAAAAGGGAGGAGAGAGAGTGAGGGATGAGGGATGGAGACAGATTCGAAGAGAATTGAAAAACAGATTTAGCTGGTAAAGTAGAAAAAAGGGGATGGGGAGAAAGCGATGAAAGTGGTAACGAGTTTATACTGCAATCTGATTTTCGCCTGCAGAACTTAAATAATCTGACTGACCAACCGCAAAGATCTCGTAGACGTTCAATTCGCAAAAGTAGAAATTTACTAGACATCCTAGGTCAAAAACCCTAAATAATTCGATGGGACTTTAGAGATCTATCGATCAGACTGTTGTTGGTGAATGATAACTTCGGACGCATCAATCTCTAGAGGATTTCCTACTCCGCTCCCGTTCCTGCGCCATTTTATTTGCGGTAAGCAGCTGTAACCAAATTTTCGGGCGCCCATTTTTTCTCTTTCTTTTTTCTACTTACTTTGGAATATACTATAATGCGGAACAATCTTCTTAAGTATGGTAAAAAAAATGTGCATGACTGCGTCCTTAGAGTAGGGCGTTTTCCTATTCGACGCTCGTATTAGACGCCCGATAGGACAATGCAATCAAACGATGCGTGACGAAAGCTACAGTGTGCGTATTTCATATGTGATAAGCTTTCAAGCGATTATTTCCGATTAATTAGACAAGCGACTTTTTTTTTTTTTATAGACATTGTTTTCATCTTTTTCATTCTCTAACTCTTCCTCTCTTCTACCTTCCCCTCCCTCTCTCTCTCTCTCTCTTTCTCTATTCCACCTCCCTCCCTCCCCCTGTTCAATTACTCTGCGCCACAGCATCCGCCTACTCCCGCCGTCTTGTTTCGCCAATTAAATACCGTCTGAATAAATTTCGCTACAGTTTGAATAATTAGCCAAATAGTGAAATTAGGAAACGTTTCGTTGTAATAGTTTCGTAGTTACGTAGTAAACGTAAATAGAGAAACGATCCAAATATAGAATTGGTTCGTGACGTTTGTCAATAAAACCTTTTTAGGTGGTGATTAGAACGAGTTAGGGAGAAGCTCGTTCTTTCCATTTCTCTCTCTCATTCTCAACGCATATACAGTATGTACTATATATATATATTATATACAATATCTACATATACAGTATATATGCCTTTCTGTCATTTGCTCTTCCACGCCAGCGATGTTTTGTTTTGTTCCTCTTTTCTTTCTAACGCCCCCTCAAACAAGTATACAACAACGAAATATACGTTTTTCTCTCTAATTCGACGCCCATCCACCGCCCTCTCTCTCTCTCTCTTACCCTCACCCTTCCATCCACCCCTCAATTGCTGTCCATTCTCTGCTTCTGTTGTTACTGTTCACCGTTGCTACTGAGATAGCGAAAGGATTAGCTAATGATTAAATGGAAGCAACGCCCATTGATTTATTAAATGTCTGGCAATGGCTGGCGTACAATTAGACGTTTAACGATGGAAAGTATCCGAATACAGTGAGAGAGCGTAATTTCCAGTCCTCTTCTTTATTGGAATCGACAGTGTATTTTATTAAATAATGCCTCATCGTTTTATTTTAAACAAATCAACCTCTTCATTCCGTTTAATGGTTTGTTAGCAGTTGCCGTTGTTTACGAGCAGCAAACTCTCTTCTTGTAGGCTTAAACATGGGTAAAAGACAGAAAACACAGTCTAGTAACATTAGAGTTCCTACTAGAATCGCATCATTAACGGCGTATAATTATGGAAAACGACGAAGCTTGACGTTATTCTCCTCAAAAATCAAACAAATTCACTCTTTTCCCCCGCCTTCTTTTCATTTTTCAATAGATTTTTCAAGAATGATCATGTGACCCTCTCTTGTTTTCTTTCCTCTACCCATATTTCACGGGCAAACAACTGACTGATCGACAACGAGCTAATGTATAGAAGCATTGATTAAATAACAATAACAATAACAAAAGATACATATTTATGCATTATTGGTAGTTGAGTGAAAGAGAGATAGTAATGAAGAAGAGAGTGGATAAGAAAGAGAGAGAGAGAGAGAGAGAGAGAAAAAGAAATTCCTTTCATATATACTCTATATAGATAAATTGCCTTCTCTTTGCCTTTGATGATAAAATGGTGTCGAGAGATTATTTTTACACAATTTAAACAATTTATGATTGTTGTTGTGGTAAACAACTCCCCCCCTACTACCACCCCTTTCCAGTAGTAGCTATTTTGTGGGCGTGTCGCACGGAAGACGACGGAAAAGGGTACAAAACGCAACTGGTAAATTGATGAATGCGGTAAAACGGACAAATCGCTTATTTATAAAGACTGATAGCGTCTTACATTTGTCAAAATTGATTAGTGTAAGCTCGTCTGGGAAGCAGAGTGTAAATCACGTGATCTTAACAGCTTTTGTACTCGAGAAAATTTTATAGTCTTTTTGAATGTTGCTACTTTTTATTCTTCTTTATTTCTCCTTATCTAAATAATTTAAAAGGTAAACATCAAAGGTCATCCGATGTGATTAATTGTTTCTTTCATACAAAGCGAAAACATCTTGAGCTTGTTGACTTTAAGTAATTTCAGATGCAGGTACTTAGCGCTCTATAGATAGAAGAGTCCAAGTATTTATTTATTTATTTGCTCCTGTTAATACCACCGCAAAATGCTTTACAGAACGATTCACCGCCTCTCTTTATCTTCTTACTTGACTGTAGTTTTCACCTCTCTTTTCTCATCAGCCACCACTCGCTTCATCTACGATTTTAGCGGTTAATGTAATTGCCAGGATAAACTCGGGTTTTCTACGTTAAAATGACCTTTTACTTATTTACAATTAAAATATAAACAAAGTCGAAGAGGAGAGCAAGGGAAGAGAAAGAGAAAAAACGAAAACGAATGAATGAAATGAATAAAACTATAGACAATCATCAAAACCAGCTAATATTTTCATGTAGAGAATAAGAGTTTTAAGCAATATACCTGTCTCGTTTTCTCCCTCATTTCCCGCTCCCCCCTCTCTCTCTCTCTCTCACTCTCCATTTCTCTCTCTCTCTCTCTCTCTCTACTATAATTAAATCATTACTTCATTTAATTTTTTTTCTCTACTCCCCTTTGGCTTCGTTTGATACCCAAATCGCAGTCTTCTAGTTCGCTCATATACTCTATATTCTATACGATGTATATTTCATGTTCTCTGTCACCTGGTGTTTCTATGCAATCGTATTCATTTCACTATAAAAATCTCTACCTATCATTTTACGCGGCATTTTCATTTACCGCAAAGTCGAGTGACCGACTAGAGTGGCCAAGCGACCTTCTAAACGGACAAGAAACCTTTTACCCTTTGTCTACATTATACAACTGCTTTAAGGATATTAGTAGGGTTAATAAGCAGGCTAAGAGGTGTGCTCATAAGTGAGGAAGCGAATTGGAGACGTAGAAAAAGGGAGGATAGAGAAGGGAAACAATAATAGAAATGAAAAAGTGAAATATGAAAGAAAGGAAGGAAGAGAAGAAGAGAAGGAGAGAGAAAGAAAGAGAAAGAGAGAGAGAGAGAGAAAAGAGACTCCATATAGGCTAAATTGTTAGAAAAACTATAGAGATTACTATAAAATTCAATTTAGAAAGCATGAGCTAAAATTGCAGAACAATCGAATGAGAAAACTCGATATTTGATCGTTTATTTATTCGTTTAAATCTAGTTGCTTACTCTCTACACATTTTCAGTGTAAATTATAAAAAGTGAATTAGTCTTAGTCCGATGATTAGTTTTTTTTCCCTCCAATTATTTCCATTGAATCTTTATGCAATCTTTATCATTCTCTATAAAATTCTTTACAACACCAAAGACTACTCTGGATTTAAATTCTATTTAGGATAATCCCCTGGTCAAAAAAAATTACACTTTCATAGGCCTTTGAGGCATTTGATTTCTATTTCTCTCTCTCTCTCCCTCTTCTTCTTCTTCTTCTTTCCCTTTAAGGGATGGTGGGGTTAAGGGGAGCTTTATTTAAAGCTTTATTTAAAGCTTAAAAAGCATCTTGTACAAAGGATAGCGAGTGGGGAGAGGACCGTGGAAATTGATCTGGAGAGGAGGAGAAGGAGAGGAAAAGACAATTAAATTATTAAGAATAGTAAAACAATTGTTAAAGTAATAAAACAGAGGAAAAGTAGAGGCAAGTTGTTGAATAATTTATGAGTTTTTATTGTATAAAGTATTAGAAAAGGATCTGGTGTGATATCATTTCCTCCTTTCACAAGTACGAACAAGAAAAGCTCACGTGACAAGCACTCTAACCGTCTCTATCCACTTAACCGATCCAATCGTGCGCAAATTAGGTCAAAGAAAATTATTTTACCCACAGTCTTATATACCTCCATACGTAATTCTATTTCTCATTGGTTCTTCCTTACAAATTGTACCAATTTTAGATGATCCCTCTCTCTCTCTCTCTCTCTCTCTCTGCTTAAACAATTCAATAAGTCTTTTCCTGGAAAAGAAAATAGTGCAAAGAATGGGAGAAAGAGAGAGAGGAGAGTGAAAGGAGGGGCGTGGAAAGGGGAGGGAGAGGAAGAAGGCTATTGGCACTCGACGCTTAGGTAGTTCTCCAAGAGTTGTTATAGTTAACTGATAAGGGAATCGTCGAGGGATAATAAGAAGACGAGAGCGAGCCATCAAAAATCCTTCGCCCTGGATTGTAGAGGTTTAATAGGCTTTAAAAAATATTCATTTTTTTTTCCATTCGGAAAAGGCTTGATTGTAGTTACAAGGTTAGAGGAAAATCCAATCAATTCCAGTCCTGTCTATATTCGCTAAATTAGTTTATCTTATTAATAAAAGTAACGTAAAAGACACATCCTGCGTAGAGATAATTAATATCACGTGATCTCCGGTATTAGAATTTAACACGATTCCGGACGCTCTATATCCACTTAATCGATTCCATCATGTGCAAATTAGATCAAAGGGATTTTAGACAAGCATTTCTTCCTACTGTTTCATTCTCTTTAGACGCCGTACATCATTCTCCTCTCAATTGGTTTAGCAAAGAGAAACTTTTAATTAATAAGCAAAGTAATTCGGTTTAGATGGAGGAAAGAGTAAAGGAGGATAAAGTAGACTAGCCGTAAGGGAGGAGAGGATAGGGCAGATAGGAAAAAGCAGCCCGATAGGATCTATTTAGGGTCTTCTCCTCCAATCTCGTTCTTCTCTCGCTCTCTCTCTATCTCGCTCTCTATTCTTTCAATGTTTCTTTCAAATTCCTTTCTCTTTCCATTTCCTTTCCGTGCTGGCTTTAAACACTCTGCACAATACCTGGATTTTTTTACTGTTGAAAAACTGTATTCCATACGACTAATGGAAAAATTACATTTATGTATTAGTAAAGATGTTTAACAACCGACAGATTAGAGAAGAAAGCCATGACTAATGGCGTCGTTTCGTCGCAGCGTTTCGTGCCTAAGTCAGAAGGCTAGCCGTAATTCCCCAGAAGAAATAGCTCTGGTTGAAAGACCTACAATTAATGGACACGTGAAATTGTCGGAAAGCGACCAGTTCGGTTCAGTTGGCTTCGTCGATTTTTGGCCCTTAACCGTCAAAAAAGCTGTTAAAGCGTCCTGCGCAACTTTCGAACAGTTCGAGTAAGTTGACGTTGACCAATTCGACCTCAATCTCAGAGTTTTTTTAATGGGGTCATTTGGGTCATTAATGAAAGCGACTTGCACAATTTTTTACTCTTTTCCATGGTTTTTTTTTATCTTTTTCTTCCCCTGCTCCTTATTTAATTTCATACAAATTAAACACTCCTGTTTTAGGGTTCTCGTGGAAAGAGCCAACGAATGGCTAGAGGAAAATGACGATTTCGAATTGATCAATTGCGAAAGTTTGGATAAAAAAGTCATATATGTCGCCGATGTTTACAGTCAGTCGTTAATTTATGCCGACGAGGACGCCAACACGCACGCTGTTCACATTATCGGATTAAGGTATGCTTTAACAGAGGAGAAATCGTTAATACTAGTCTACTAAAAAAAATTAAACTAATCCCCCACTAGTCACACTCCCTTCTCCCTCGTTCATTTTCTCTTCCTCTTCCACCTCCCTCGCCTATCGTCCAATTACCCTTGTAGGCAATTTTTTGGAGTCGATTTCATTTCTCTCTTAATCTCCCTCCACTCCTCCTCCTCCTTCTTCTTCTTCTTCCCCTCCCTTCTCTCTCTCTCTCTCTCTCTCTCTCTTTGTGAATAAAACGCCCAGGCGGTTTCTTACTTTATTTTTATTTTCGCCAGTTTTTTTCTCAGCAGCAGTTCTCCAGTCACGACATTCGCTTTTTTTTGTGCAAAAGAAACCGTTAAGGGTTTAATTATGCCTTAGCTACTAGAGTTTTTGTAATTATTGATTTATTGTAGTTGATGGTGTGCGCGTGTCTTAAGTCGAGAATTCTATCAATTCATATCATTCTTTACGAATCAGAGAAGAGATCAAGCGCCGACGCCCCGCCTAAGCGAATTAAGTAGAATTGGTCAAAATCAAATATGGTCTCTCTCTCTCTCTCTCTCTCTCTCTCTATCTATCTATAGACGTAGATACAGTATATAGTTTGCCCATCTATATAACCTTCGGATTTACGATTTCACATTTCTCCTCTCTCCTCTTCGATTTACTGAGTGGCAATCTCGTTAAGGCTTCGACTAAACGCTTGTCTTATTGGAGAGAGAAGAAAGTACTAAAAGTAAAAGGTAGTCTTCCGCCCTGCAAAGTATCATATTCCGGGGACAGAGAGAAAGACAAGAAACAGAATGAGAACGAAGTATAATTTCGTTCTCTTTCCTTCTCTTTTGATTGAATATATTCCACGGCATGATTCTATAGTTGTCATTAAATCAGCATATAGACTGGTGAATATCGATTATAATGGTATTAAGTGTATATGAGCATTTGATTCCCTGTAATTCGAAACCGGAATGTAAAGGTAGTGCACGTGATTTGATTATTTTTCCTGCTGGCAGGAGAGAGACGGAGAGAGAGGGTGTGTGAGTGAGAGGGAGAGAGTGGGAGAGACGGAGAGGGGAAATGGGGTAAAAGAGCGAGAGTATGGGGAATAGGAATAGGAATGACGAGTAGCGTGTATGCTAGACATATATACTTGAGCATCGAACTAAATAGTGATAGATAAGGATAGATAGGAAAGGATGCTAAGTGTACAACTAGTAAGTGAAGCGATTTAGGCTTTTTAGATATTAAGATAGCAATCCGATCTGGATTTGAATTGAAGCTAAAACGGTCTAAATTACGAAAAAAGATTCCATTCTATCCTTTATTTAATAAGTAAATAAAAAGAAAAAGTAGCGCTAATGATAAACTAATGGTTCTATCTCATCCGATTGTGCTAGTGCGTTACCTTGTTCTAAAGCTATTTCACGCATTCCCCATGCCAACTGCAAATTCGTGACGCGTAGACTGCATTAATATCATACACGTCAAGAGATAGAAAGAAAGTCTACTTGTATTATTTTCACATATTCATAAATATATAAATATGTATGTGCATATAGGAAGGAGAGGTGAGAAGCGAGAGAGAGAGAGAGAGAGAAAAGAAGGGTGATTGTACTATTCTCTATAAAAAAAACGTGTAAAATCTCTACGTTTTTAGACATGATGTCATTAATGAGAATGTACTAAATACCATATTCAATATGCTACTGCAATATTACAGTACTGTCATCTCTGTCTAATGCAAAGCAGAGGTGTCATCTGGAGAGAGGTAGCACGTGAACGAAATCAGGCGTATTCACTTAGAAACGTACGCACGACCCATAGTGTAGAATGTACATTTTGCAGTGTGTACATAACTGGAAAATATGCTGTAGAGAAATTATTGAACTATTTATTTAAATACTCGAGATAACAGCTCTTCTGTAAATAGAATGAAGAGTGATAGGGATATCCAATTGCCCCCTTCGTATCTTGTATATTTATCCAAAATTGATAGAAAACATGGAGAAATCCCTCCCTCTGGCCTCTGTCTCTGTCTCTGACTATGCCTCTCTGGCTGTCTGAGTTGCCTCCTCCTCATTATTCAATGTATTAATATATCTTTTGATTAATAACCAAATAACAAGCCAACCAAGGACTAGAAAAGAAAGTATTAAACAACAGAAAATAAAGAGGAAATGAGGAGAGACAATGCAAATTTTATTCATAATTTTTTTTTATATTCTCCAAACAAGGGCGTCGGATAATGGAAAAGCGTCTCTTGAGTGAAACGAAACCCCGTTCGCAATGAAATGAGTGATGGGAAAGAAGTTGTATGACAATTTTTTTCCAATTCCTTTCCAATATTACTCTCGTCGGCGTCAATAGACGTCGAAATCAGACGTAGTAATGTTAAGACTTAAGAACAAAATCAATTTTTATTAGTGCCTACGGCTGGTTGCGCATTTTTTTCGCATGCAATTGCCGGTGCACGTATCAGGGGCAGTCTGCCGTCAGGAGCCGAATAGAAAGAGAAAGGGAACGAGAACGAGTGAATGAGTGAGTGAGAGAGTGAGTAAACGAGAGAAAGGGTGAGAAGGAGCGAAAGAAGAACATAAACCTTGTAGAAAAAAAAAGAACACAAGTAAAATGTCAATTGAAAATAGAAATTGTTAAGGAAATCGGAATCCAATAGGAAATAAGAAACAATACTATACAATAAATATTGAACCTTTCTCTACGATCCGCAAACATCAAAGTAAATTTAAATTTCCTGTAATCTTCTACTTTTACTCTTCTACTATTCAATATAATCTCTGTCTATGCGAAAAATAAAACTATTAGTCTCTTCTTTATCCTTCCCTTCCTTTCCTGCTCCCTCACATCAAACCAATAAACACGTATGCTATATATATATATGTATACGCGCCAGTCAAATACTTTCTTCCTCTCTTCTTTATCCTCTCTTCCTTTTCTCGCTTACCTCTTTTCCTGTTACACATTTTTTTCACTCTTGTAAATCATTTCCGGTCAAAATACAGTCAAGAAAATCCATATCTCAACTACTTTCGGATCCTCATTAAGTCGGCCACATACAATCGGGTGCGTTTAGTCAAATTTACCAATTGACTGTTAAAAAAGGAGAGAGTGAGAGAGAGAGAGAGAGAGAGAGAAGGAGCACATATATCGTTGATGTAAATATATCTATGAAAAGAGGCTTAGTTAGATGAAAAGAGCCTCACTGCAAAAAATTCCTTATCAGAGATAATTGGTATTCGATAAGAAGAGATACAAAAGAGGGAAAGATTATCCCTTCGATTCGATTAAATCAAAATAATATTTCGTTATTTGTTTATGTTAAAAGGTTTCTTTTGAACTAAACAAACAAAAAATTGGTAAAAGGAAAGTAAAAACATACTTCAAATTTCCCTTTTGACGCCTTTCTCTTCCAGTTTCAATTGCCTTTTAGTCTTTTTATGGAAATACTGGCTTAATAAATTCCCTTCTCTCTACAGATTATGGTACTGCAAACGTTTATCGTCTAACGATACGAAAAATGACCGTCTTCAATTGGATTTCATCGATATTCTACCGTTTTATTTAAATCCTGGAGAAAAAGAGCCGCGTTTTGAAAGCGTCTCTTCAACGGTTGATCGAATTAATGCTACTTTGAGGCATACCCCGCTTCAAGGTTTGACCTAATTTGTACTTAATGACTTTTCGTAAAAATTCTTTCATTCCTTCCCATCCTTTATCTTTTTTCTCTGCTTTTTAAATAATACGTTTAGGCGAAAAGTTAGTCAGTAGACGATCACTCAGCATTTCCAACCACCTAATTACAAATCGTAGACGTCGGCATAGAGAGCGTCCCAATGATACACACTCTTCTACCACTCCATCAACCGACCTCAATACCCTTGTCCCGCATATATTTGTACAAGGGCTTATAATAAAGACAAATTAGGCGCAAACTTTTACGAGCTACGAATCTTGGTGTGCTAGTTTCCTAAAGCCAACTCCCAGTAGCCAGAGAGAGAGAGGAGAAGCAAGAAAAAAGGGATACAAACAGACAGACAGACAGATAGAAGGACTATGGGAAAAAGAGCATCAACAGTGGAATTGAACAAAACATTAAATTGACCTAAATTGATTTCGTTTTTATTCTCTCGATTAATTTAAAAAGACTAAAGAAAGAAAGAAAGCGAAAGCCAAAGGGCAGACTTAGCATCCCAGATCGACTGGCCAATGGATGATGAAATAATGAATAAGATATACAAGTGGCCTATCGCTTTAAGCAGTCGAGTTTAAAAACAAAACGAGAAAAGGACAAAGGAAAAGATAAAATGAGTCAGAGAAGTGTAAAACGAAGAATTAGGGCCCAGAAAAGGAGAAAGTAAAGATAGAGAAGCAAGATTAAAAGATCGAGGGAGAAAGTTGAGGAAAAATACTAAATGTTTTTATTGACGATGGCTTCCTGCCTAAGCCATCATATAGTCCAAATATAACGAGTAAATTATGTTTGCTTTAAAACAATAAGGTTTCTTTCTCTTTCCTAAAGCTTGTCCTATGACTAGAATATTTTTACTGTTTTCTTTTATTCTCTTCTTGCTCACCTTCCATTTCTTCGTCTTCTTCTTCTTCCTCCTCTTCCTCCGCCTCCTCTTCTTTTTCTTTTTTCAGTTTTCAACGAAAAAAAGGCGTTTGTCCAATCGAGCAGATTTCCCTTTGTTCCCTTCCCTTTTTTGCTTTTGTTTTCTTTCTTCGACGCTCGATTGACGCCCAAAATTCTAGGGATAGGCCTAAATATTTTCTTGGTAAATAAATGTAATTTATCTATTCGTCCCTCAGGCAGAATATTAAGCATCGTTTCCGTAAACTTAACACTCGCCGAAGATATTTGGGCAAGCGGAGCGCAAATAAACACTTGCCAAACCCGCTGGTTCGATGAATTTAACACTCATAACCTAATTTTCATACGCATCTTCTTCCTCGTTGGTCCTCCTTGCCACGAATTGATAGGTTAGTATAAAAGATAGAAAAGGAATGACAATATCTTACGGTTTTTACCTTTTTATATCTTTCTCTTCAATCTAATAATTGATTATTTTTTGTTATTAATGACGCTAATTGCTTTTAAACACGTTACGATCGTTTCTGTGTGCTTATTCTTCCTTTGCCTCTTAATTACTCCAATATGCCATCGTTCCCCTTTGTCCCTGAACGAAAATCTCTCCCCAGAGCCGCCGATTGACGACTAGAAGGGAGAGAGAGAGAGAGAGAGAGAGAGCGAAAGAGGAAAAACCATTGATAGCTAAGAAGGAAGAGGGGATGATTGGGACGATGATGACAGTCGTTGACCTGATGGTTTTACCGTATAAGAGAAAAGAGTGAATGGCAGAGAGGTTAAGGAAGAAAAAAGGCATTGGCAGAAGAAGGGAGAAAGATAAATTTGATAAATATTAAATGGTATATTTAACTAAGTAAAACGAATAATTGATAAACAGGATATAGTCTAAGTGAATATAACGTAAATAGAGTATATACAATCAAATACAAACACATAAACGTCTACAGGATATGCGTATAAATATACAGTCTTCTATATGTTTATATAGGTTTGAAAGATTTTTCACCAAGGATAATCAAATCTGGTAATGTTTTTCAACCTGCTCAATATTCAACAATTAGTGAATTGGTCAGCATGATACAAGATTGGATTCGTATGGTTGGAGGTAACAATGTATGTTGTTTCTTTTTTACTTATTTACATCTCTTCTAATTAAATATTTTTACATCTCATTCTCTTTTTATCGAATTTAATTAAATATCTCTTTTTTTCTCCCCCTTCCCTCCCTCCTGCCTCTCTTCATCATCATCATCATCATTCTTCTCCTCCGACTACTACATCTGCTGCTCCTCTTCTTCTTCTTCTCCTTTATCTGCTTGAATATCTCTTTTACATGCTTTCTCTTTCTCCACTCAATTGTCAATTGACCTCCCCACCTACCCGCCTTTCGCTCCTCTCTCCTCACCTTTTATCGTACAGGATATCAGAATTACAAATGTACAGACATTATCTGCAATTCATAAATGCAAAAAACATTCGAAAAGGGGATCATGGAACACAGACTCTTCCTTTGAATATAAAATTGACGATCGCTTTCACAGCGTCTTCCTTCGAGTAGGCTATGCAAAACCGGCAGAACTTTACAACGATTTTACATTTCCAATATATTTACCTAATGTTACTGTGAAAATGTTTGTTCCATGGAGAAAAAAGAACCGGTTAATTGCCTTTTTTTATTATTATTTATTCAATTATTTATTACTATCCAACGTTCACAATTTGGCTTATTCTCTTCCATATTTTCTTGTCAATTAGTTACGAAAGTCTAAAGGAGGTTAGGGAAAGGATGGAAAAGTTCCTCAAGTGCTGTCAGGCTAGAATTTTCTATATAGAAACTGTTCAAATTCCCGAATGGATGACCAGAAAGGAATTCTACGAAAGAGGAGAACGAACCTTTTTCGACGGGCATTGGTATTTTATTCCTGATAAATATGGGAATGCTCAGGGACCTTTCCGATATCCTCTCATCTACGCTATAAGGTTCGCTTTTAATTAAATAATCAAACAAGATTTCGCCCCCACCAGAGAACGGTGACGATCGTGAGAAATTTTGTCAAGTTAATCGCCTCTCTTCCTCCTTCACAGAGTCTACATCGACGGCGACTTTAACCAGCTAGGAAATTACGTAAGCGAGACGTCATTTTTGGAAAGACCCGAAAATTGTTGTTCTGCTTGCACAATTTGCTGAGAAGACTTGAAAAAGAGAAAATATAAGAATAACCATTATGGAAAGAGAAGAAAGAGATAGAAAGAAACAAAGATAGAAAGAATAATATCACGATTGATTGAATGAACGAACGAACGAACGAACGAACGTACGAACGTACAAACAAACGAAACGAACTAACCATTGATTGAATTGATTGATTGAATGAATGAATGAATGAACGAACGAACAAACTAAAGAACGAATGATAAGAATATTTTGCTTTTAAAAGAAAGAAGGTAAAAAACTTTGTTTTTCACTGGCAGATGATAGAAAAAAACCAAAAAAAAGAGAAAACTGATATCGAAGAGAGAAACGAAAAAGAAGATATTCAATCTTTTTAAAAGTTGATCATCAGATTTTTTTTTTGTTACCGAAAGAAAACAAAACTGCTACCCTGTGTGCGTTAGCGAATAAACGTATAAATAACCCGGTATTCTTTGTGCGTATACATTTATGGTATTTATCGTATCTCTTTTATTCTATATCTTTCTCAATGTAATATACAGTATATACTGTATGTAATGTGTATACTGTATATGTGTATACAGTCTGCTGTATTTTTATACTTTTTACGGATATACGTTTATTATCCTTCACTGAAAAAATAAGCTGGCTAAAACTCTTTAAATTGAACATGAACTGAGCTTCTCTCTCTCTCTCTCTATGTATAAATTTATATATACACATATATGCCTGCCTACCTACCTACCTACGTATCCGTTTATCCTAAAATATCTTCAATTTCTTTCAGTAATGTCCTATCTGCAAAGCCAGAAAGAAAGAAGAAAGAAAGAAAATAAACTTTTTAGTTTTTTTTTACATCTTTCATAATTTCTTAATTAATATCCTATATATTCTTTAAGCTGTTTCTTTTCCTCTATCTATCTATCTATCTCTTTTAATTAATCATTATTATTGTTTCCTTCAACTACTCTCTCGAGATGTCTCTCTCTGCCACTCTCAGAGGCAGTCTACGCCATCTAGCGTATTATGTGGGGATGAAGACGACAAACTAAGGAGAATGACATTTCTATTCGACCTCCAAGTTATCCTTGTACCGGAGAGATGTCAAACTAATTTCAATTTGGAAAAGTTTCTTTAGCTTATTGTACACCGTAATCTGCCGCCTTTCTCCGAGATGAAATAACTCGATTTTGCTATACATTAAGCATTAGATAAAATTTTGCAATTATATTACTCGGACAAAACATTCTTTCTCTCCAACAAAGAGAAAGAGAGGGAGAAAAAGTATTTATTAACATTTAAATTGCCAGTAGGGGCAAGAGATTGATCATTGAATTATCTTTTATATTATTCATTCAGTTTTATTTGTTATTTCTTTCTTCGTCCTATTAATATTTTATTCTTTCAGTTATTTTTCAACTTTGGATAAAAATATTAAATGAGCTAAATTATTCTCATGTGTTCTTTTTCTCTTAAACAATACGTCAATATAATATATACTGTATACATATATATATATACATGATTATGATGCGTATTCTTAAGAGTTTACACAATAGCGTAAAACACAATTCATACAGTTATGTAAAAAACATTTACACTGCATAACAGACATATATCGTTCTTATACGTCGTTATATACACAATGGAAAATGAAATCTTTTAATGGCATACACGTATTTTCTCACAGCTCAAGGAATTGAGTTTACTTTTTGTTTGTTTGTTGTATAACGCTGGACAGAGGAAAAGAGAAAACAAAGAGAAAACAAAGAGAAAAAAATATTCATTATATAATATATAGTATATATATATATATATATATGTATATCTGTATCTATACATATATATAGATATATATTTCTTTTTCGTTTTACTTTGCTTCCCTTATTTCGGCTCATTCAAAACTAATTCAAAATATCTCCCAGTCCCTCGTTAAACAATTCACCATTGTCGCTACTAGATAACATACTACTGGCAACGAAATTCGCACGCAAGTTGGCCGATTCAAGTGGAGATGTTGGTGGCGTCATTGAATTCATTAGCTGTGATAAAATGTTTACAGTATGTTAGTCAAGCTAATTTTTAAGTGTTGGCGGTGGAAAAAGAGTACGCCATTCTTCGTTTGCTCTACTCATAATTCCTTGCCTGAAATGGTTTCTTGTCAAAAATTCCTATTCTCTTTCTTAATCAACTAATAAGATTTACCTCTAAAATATTCGATTGCGAAGACGGTAGTGTATAGCCGTTCTCATCGTCCTTTCCGCTAACCAACAATTTTTGCAGTATTCCTCCGTAATCGTCGGAAGGATTGCCGCCTCTCAATGACTTTTTCGTTTTAGATGGATGTTGCTCTCTCTCTGCGGAAGCGTATATATTACAGATGACATCGGACGCTTTTGATCTCGGGACAAACATTGAAGATTTCTTTTCCGACTCTGGTCCAATCTCCAAATCGGTGTGTTTCGAGGAGAAAATCATTTCGGTACTACCCAGCAATTCTGGTGAATCATCAAGAATTGAAGATGGTTTTACCATATCAAACGTGTAGTCGTCAACATCAGCCATTGATATAAACGGCGCCCTCTGCTCCAGTTCAACGTCCTTTAAAGGGTAGTGTGGAAAGATAGGGAAAGGGAAGGGAAGATAGGAAGGAAGGTTGGGAGGAGGGAGCAAAAGCGCACAATTAGTAAAAGTCAAATAACAAAATAAGTATATTCTTTAGTTTTTGTTTAATTCCAATATTTTCCCTAATAATAGCAACGTCTTAGATAATGACGGGTACTTTTGTAAAAGTTATAAGAAAAAACATCTATTAATAAAGTTAAGTCTTGTCTTTTCCTTGAAAAGATTTGCGAAAATGAAAATCTCTTCATATTTTAACATATCAGAGAATTCACAAATGGATTACTTTACTTGACTAATTGTTTTTGTTCTTTTTTTCCCCCAAGAGACGTTACCCGAGCTTTAGAATGATCAAAGATTTTAGAATTTGCTGACTAGTATAAAAAAATAAATTATTACAAATTAGGTCAATTAATTTATCATTTTTTTGGTACTAAACTATAAATAAGTAAACAGAATAGAATAGCACATCCGCCTCGCGAAGAATTATTTTGAAAATAAACTTTGTTTATCACTTATACAATATGGCGTGGCTTAGAAATGTTTTCGCCTACGATACCCTTCGTCAAACTATAGATCAACAGTGCTAAAATCTCTTAACGCATCCTATACATACATTAATTATACTGTATACTGTATATAATACTAATTTATTAATAATAACTTTGTTGGTTATTACCTCTGGCTTTAACAGTGTTTCCCTTTTCTTGTCTCCTCCAAAGTATTCGTCGAGTAAGTCGTCATTTTCTAATCGGAGAACTTAATTATATTGTCGTAATTCCTTCAAGAAAATCTACGACTGCCTCACCTGTAAAGTCTGGCAAAGAGATTGTTTCGTTTTTCAAGGACTGTTCAGTAGATAGGATAATTCCAGGATATTCGATAGATCCGACAGCGAAATTAACGCACAAGACATATTGAGGTTTGTCATATTTGTCATAGAGTAAAGTGGCTTGGGTATGAGCCCAAATGAAGCCACCGTATTTTGCAATAATACGATATAAACCCGTTTTCATTTGACCTTTGTTCAACACTGTATGAAAATGATTACGAGCAAAATTTTAGTATTACATTTCATATACTGCAAACAATATATCATCAAGCAGAACTTACGATTTTTAAAATGTTCCCTCAGCTGAGCACAATCGGAGCCGTGATGAAATTCATACAAGCACTTTCCTATCAATTCGTCCGATTCATAACCAAGTAAGTCAGCTGTTTTCTCGTCAACTTCGATAAACTTCATATCCATCGTGTGTCGCGTTACAAAGGTTTGTCCGTCTAATGGCGTTTCAACATGGCTTGGATGGGGAATTGGTTCGACATACATAAGTACGTAGGGCGTTAGAAATTTCACATTTTGCGAATGCTGGCTGTTTACTCTTAAATTCTGGGCTATGCACCGAAATACCTGTAAAATAATATTCAAGATAGAACTACAAGTTGAACTCGTATAAAGTACACACAGACACACACACACGCATATTATAATCGTAGACATAGACAATTTTAGAGTGGTAAGGAGGAAGATACGGAGATTTAGTAATAGAGAAAGGAACAAAAAAAAAGAAGAAAATAATCAAATGATATAATTAATAGCACTAAATATTTTTCATTTTGTTTTAGAACATTCAAACTCTTTAATACGAGAAGATAAAAGCTACTAAAAGGTTTTACATTTCCTATACTATAACACAAAAAAGTAATAATATTTCTAGTCGTCGTCTTCAAAGAACAAACTTTTTTTCTACTTTTAAGAAAACTGCTTAAAGTTGTCAAAAGATTCACTGATGAAATTTTGCTTTAATAAACAAAAGCAAGTAACACACACACGTACATATACATACATACACACACACACACACATACACACACACACACACACACACACACACACACAATTACTCAATATTCTCTTCAAGTTAAAGATTTTTCGCAGATAGTATATTGTACATTTTACAAAAAGTCTAACTCTTTTGCTTTTTCGTCTTTTCAGTATTATCCTAAGTAAATTCAACGAATACGGCAACATTTTATCAACTAAGGAAAAAAAGTGTCTGGGAAAATTTCCCTAGGCCTATGCAAAGAGCTATTAGGCCGGTACAGGAAGTAAACGTTAATTTACAACATCGTCAAGGACACCGATGGTCTAACCTTGTGAGCAGCACTTTTCAGATTTACACTTCTTCCTTTTGTTGTTAACGTGCATTTAAATCTATTGGAGGTAAATAAAGAGATTATAAAAACAAAGTTATTATACATTGGTATTTATAGAAATAAATAGAGCATTTAATGTTAGTTTTATCATAAAATTTCTATAAAAGATTCAACAAAGACATTTTTTAAATAATAGAATGTCTATACTCTTCTATCAGCTGGAAAATTGATAGACAAATACTTTTTCTCTTTAAGCAACGCCTTCAACTTAACAATCCTGTTAATGCAATTTGGTCGGAAAGAGATTATCATCTTACTTTCTAATTTTGTTACAGATATAGAGTGAATTATATTTAAAGTCTAATCAAAAATTATTGTTTCTATCGATTGACTGTCTTTGATAAGCCCATGCTATGTAGTAGTTAAAGATAAAGTGGAAAAGATGTATGTAAATGTAGGGGATAGAGGGACAGTCAGACAGATAGAATGTTTGATAGAAAGTGAGCATTAAAAGATTTTGTTTCTATAAACAATTGTGCTATAAATGACATCGAGATTCCATATAATAGCTAATTAATGATTCTTACCGAATGAAAAACTCTTTCCTCTCATTATCAATAGGAATTCTTAAGCACTTGAAAACTTCGTTGATCTCGTCGTGATCGCTAGGATGAATGAATTCAAAAACTTGCTGCCCAATCAGATCAATTTGGCAGAGGCCTAATTCTTTTAACGAACTTTCGTTAACGAAAATAATCTGTCCATCGTTCTTTAGCAGCATAACAAATCCATCTAAACTTCTTAAACAATATTGGCTAACCTTGTCTTCGGTGCCAGCTCGACTTTCTGAAAATGATAGAGTTTTAAGTTTACAAACAAAATACTTTTTCCAAATACTTTACCATCTCCAAACAGATGTCTTAAGGTCACATGAGATAGGCATAATCTTAAGGATGCTGCTTTGTCAATTTGCTGCCTGAACGTTTCATTTATCGGTAAGAGAGCGGTTAGCTCTTGAAAGATTTCAGACTCCTTAGTTCGTCTAGTTCGAGCAGCATCTCTACTCATAGCCTTTCTCTTTTCGCTATTTCTATAATATAAATATATAAAATGTCATTTTATTAGCAATAGCTGTTTTAATTAGTTCTTATCAATATTTCTAGAGTGTGTTATATATAAAAATTCGATTGTTTTTCAGCTTGTATTACCTTCTCCAAACAAGCTACATTTATTAAAACACCGTTCATCAAGACAGATTTCATTCAATGGATTCTTCCCTAATAGTATCTATCTAGTTGCGAAATCTCTCTTTTTAGATTGTAGATAATCTTGCTCTATTACCAATATCGTTCGATTTCAAGTTCAACAGAAGACTTTAGAAGGGACTAAGAAAGATTTATTAACAAAACGAAAAAAAAACAACAAAAACAAAAAGTAGAGTAGAAATCTAACAAGAAAATATTACTAGGTAAGGTTTTATATTAGTATTCGGGAAATAAAACAGAGTTATTACTTGTAGGGCATCTTCTACGGTGGCAGAAAGTAAGTCTAATGATTAAATCAGACACTGACCAATTACAACGACATCTCGCGGATAAATGTTTACAGTAAAACGCTTTACGGTAAAAAACGTTATTCCCTAGTTTACCATCGTTGAAACTCTCGTAGACTATTACGCTCATAGGGCTTAACTATCATCGAAATACTACACTTATTCAAATAACAAGAAATATAACTATATCTACTGGTTATAAGTTGCGTTCAACTTTAGGGGTCAGTAGGTGAGGAGGGTGACCCACAAATATCGCAAATATTTACCTTCGTTTTCCTTTCTTTCTTGTCGTTTTTGGCATTTTTATCCACCAAATATTTTTGATCACTAATTAAACCCTTAGGTTGGATTGATGGTGCGTAGATTCACACAATATTCGTTAACAATTCCACGAAATTGCTCTCCAATGGTTAGGACTGTTCCGATAGTGACGTAGATGAGTATTTATTATGCAGATTTAAGAAAAAAATAAAAATTTAATTTAAAATATTTATTGCTATTTATTTAATTTTATATGACTTTATTTATTTTATAATATTTATTTCTAGCAAATTCTATTTCGTATATTAATATTTCGAAGAAATATATGCTCCCACCTATTCTTTTCACTTAACGTTAAACGTTCTATTTCCCGTTTATCGCCCATATACCATTGCACTTTAAAGTGTTTCTACTCGAACTTTCGCGTAAAAACTATCAAAGTTGCTATAAACTCGCATACTTTAAAACATTATCAACTATAACGAGTTAGTAGCGATAAAACTTAATATATTTTTGGCTTTTGTACTTTAAACATTAACTTTTATTTTGTTTTGATAAATATCAAATTTAAGTTTTTGTCTTCTTTTGCCTATAAAAGCGGTAAGCAATTTTTACATTAAACTATTAAAAATGAGAAAATTAGAAAGTAGGCCATCTTCCTTTTTTCTTAATATTTTCTTCAATTTTCAAGTAATTTTGCAAAAAGAAATGGATCTGCAGTGTTAGGTTTTTCGTTTCCTCCTCTATTCATCAGGTTAGTAATGGAGGAGCGAATGGTAAGCCTAGTGTCCTTCGAAGAGAACAAATAATTTTTTATGTCGGAAAAAAGATGTTTTTATTAGAAAAAATAGAGTTTTTTGTTACAATAGCAAAAAACGTAAAAAAAAGAACAGAATTAAAATTGTGCATATTTCCTAAACGTAGAATAAAATTTAGGGATTAATTTAGGTCAACGAATAAGACTTTATTTCAGATGTTTGTGTTTTCAAACAAAAAAAGCGTGAAAAATCACCTTTATTGTTTATTTATTTATCTATTGTTCTTGGATATTTTATAGGTAAAAGTTCTAACGAAAGAAGGAAAGAAAGAAATAAGAATGAATGACAGCATCATCTCTTCTGAAAGCTCTTCTGTTTTCGCTAATTATTAAGCATCTTTACGCATTAGATTTTCAAGAACGTTTGACCATCCCAGGTCTTCTTCGTCATTCGCTTGAATTTCAGTTGTTATACCTTGAAAGCCCCTTCTGAGATAATCCTTACTAGATGTGTATAGCATTTTTTGTTTTACATTCACTCCCTGATCGGGACTCCAAAGGAAAAATGCCAATTTAGATCGAGGACTATTAACAAATAGGAAATTTTCAGTTTCATTTTTTGTATATACATATATCACGCTTAAACGAATAATATACAGTTATGAACTCATTCTATTTGTATTGTTAGCATTATAATAATAATAATTATTATTATATAAGTTGAAGTGAAATAGAAAATTTCCTATTTTCGTGTGTTCGATATTCACAATCGAATACAGCGTATCTACATTCGCCCATCTGCTTAGCTTCCCTAAGCTCATCAACGAACTGGTCATATGTTGCAGTAGGGGGCGCTACTGATTTAACTTCTATCCTTTTTAGATCACTACTTAATCCATAAATAACGTAACGATAGCAATGTTTTAATTTTATTTCAGTAAAACGTTCAATACAGTCAGCATCCACTCTAACACCAGAAATCTGAAATGTTTGTTAAAATATATATACAGTATATACTGTATATATATATATATATATATATATATAAGCAAGTATATACATTTATACTGTATATATTTATATATATTCGCTACTATAAGTGATATATATAACATAAATCTTTAAGATATTAAAAAGTATAAAGAAATAGATTTTATTTTATTTAGAGAAGTGTAAAATATCTCACCATCTTTACCGTGTGTTTCTTACTCTTAGCAACAAAAAAAAGCCTGCTCCGAAGTTTGTAAGCTTATCTCTTATTGGTTTTCGCTTATCCCACCGACCAATCATCCTGCAATATGCAAATTACTATATATGGTCATTCGTGTAATGTTCTAGGCCTAGAGAGAGAGAGCGAGAGATGGATAGAGATAGCTAGATAGATAGACGGAGGCAGGCTTGTTACAGGTTTTATTTCATATGCCTCCTATAAATGTATTTACATTATTTATATATAACATATAAAAAACGAAAAGTATTATTTTAGGAAAGGGGGAAATCCCTGAAGAATCTAAAGAAAATATTTTGTATGCATTTCTGAAGTTTAAGAAAAAGAATCACACAATATGTTACTATTAATAATATTACTAATATTAATCTGTGCTGAATAGAGAAGTTATATTATAACCCTATATATTGAAAATAAAAGGAATGCGTAAAAAATAATTTGATATTGCATTATAAAACCGCTATAAAAAATTATTAACAACCAAAAGTGAAGTTGGTTCTGCTTTTGAATAACTAGATGGGCAATATGAATATTGGCCTTCCTAATAGTTCAGTGGGGTATAAAATACTGAAGACAACTTTATCTACTAAATCACTTATTTGATGAAATTTATTATCATTGATAATCAAATATGAATTGTTCATTAACTTCCTTTAATTCATTCTTTGGACTAAGTAAATATGAAAAACCTGGCGATTTCAATTGCTTTAGAACTTGAATATTTTTTATTTTTCATTTTTCTCCTTTTAATAAAAGAGTGTTCTACTTTTCAGTGATGTTTCTTTCAATAGTAGTTTCAGCATGCGAAATGTACTATTTCGCTGTTATTACTACTGTTGAAAAAGCTCTTGGATTATCTAGTAAACAATCCGCATTATTAATATCTCTCAAAGAAACTGTTTATTTAGTTGGAACTTTACTGTTAAGGTAAAAAAAAATACAATAGAAGAAGTCAATACTTTTGTATTGCATGTTGTGTTTTCTTTCATTTTATCCTTTATTATTGTTTTATAATAGCGATATTCTGAGTAAAATTCATAGGCCTAGGACTCTGGCGGGTTTAATTGCTGTTATCGGTTTTGGAAGTCTTTTAACCTCTTTGTCACCTATGTTTGCTGATAAAGCTGGTGTTGAAATTGTAAATCATACTGGAAACCTTCACAATAATTCAAATCAGACGAACTTTTGCAATCCACAAGTGAGTATTTATTTACTTTTGCTAATTTATTGTATATTTTATTAATTGCCAATTCCATGATCCCTCTCTTTTCAAGTCCGATTCATTATATTGTCAAAATGAAGTTATGAATCCTACAGGGAAATTCAATATTGGAGCATATATTGTTTTATTTTTGGGATTATGTTTGGTATCAATTGTTTTAGGGCCTTTTCATCCCATTTCTACAGCTTTTATTCATGATAGTACTAGTAATAAGGCAGCTCCTGTTTACCTTGGCATATTTAATGCAGCCCTTCCGATTGGGCCAGTACTATCACTGTCATTATCAGCCTATATCCTCTCAACTTTTAGGATCGATTTGTCATTAGCTGAACCAGGTGACGTCGATAGATCAGATTGGATAGGAGCCTGGTGGTTTGGTTACGCACTATTCGCTCCAATATGCATAATCATTCCAATTTTTATGTGCTTCTGTCCGAGAAGCTTTAAGAAACTTGAAAGGGAAAACGACGATAAAAACGACGATAAGAAAAGCGTGAAATTTTCCCGAAAGGCTTACCTAAAAAGTAATAAAAAGATGAACGTGTATTTTTAATTGTTCAATACTAAAGAAATAATATTAAATAACAAACAGATGTATTAAGAAGATGTTTAAAGTTGTTAATTAATCCAATTTATATCTGCTTAACGACTTCCGTTATCTTTCATTTAATATTTGTTGCTGGAATTCTTCCATTCATTCCAAAATACTTTGAAACTCAATATTTTTTCTCAACCTCTCAAGCAAACCTTGTTACAGGTAAGAGTCTTTTAAATAATGCTGTATTCTCAACAACTGTTCTTCAATAGGTATATTTGCTGTTGGAGCAGCTCTAGGAATGGTAATGGGTGGAGCAATGCAAACTTTATTCAAACTTAAGCCTAGAGGTCAATTAGCACTTTGCGTTATTTCGAACATCACAGTATTTACAACGCAGTTCATTGTTTTATTCATCTCTTGTAATGACGAAAAGGTCCGAATGGATACAAACGTTGTCGATTAGTAAGATACTACGAATATTTAACAGAACCATAATAAGAATAAAGAATTTTCTTGTTTAATCTATTCTAGCGAGAGTATAGCGAATAAGTCTTGTTTGGAGTATTGTAATTGCGATAAATATCTATACGAACCAGTTTGTTCTTCCGACGGCTCCACTTATTTTTCATCTTGTTACGCTGGCTGTTCAACTTTTAACGAAACGACAAAGGTAGTACTATACTATTGATTATCGTTTAGTGATTGTTCCATCATCTATTGTACAACCAAGGAATACGGCAACTGCATTTGCCTAGAGGATACCTTAAAAGTGGCTACTTTAGGAGCCTGCAACGTGGATTGCTCGATTAGAGTATGGGGAGTGATTCTGTTTATTATATCGTCGGTCGTAGGATTTATGTGCGAAATTCCCGCTTTAACCTTGTGGTTCAGGTAGATTTTTATAAATATTAAGCATTATATAAAACCAGTAGTAGAATTAGTTGACAATCTTCTATGAAGTATTTAAAATCAGAAATAAAATATCCTCTGTAGTTATATTGAAGCAGAAGACAAGACATTAGGTATAGCATTGGCTTCGGTTTTAAGTTCCTTTTTGGGTAAGTGGTCGGGAATTTGGGGTTTGAAAATTGTCAATACATTGATTTTATTAAAAGATACTTAACTGCAGCGTTTATGCCGTCTCCGCTTATTTACGGAAATGCGTTTGATAAGAGTTGTTCAATGTGGAAAGAAAATTGCCAATTGGAGAGGGAAAATTGCCTTATCTACGATCGTTCAGCAGTCAGGTGAATAATGCAACTTATCATTTCTCCTCTCACCACTATTGTCTTTGGTTTTCCTGTTATAAATATTGTTAAAAAATTTTTTTCCGCCAGGCACAACATTGTAACGTTGAATATCATATTCACCGCTTTGTCATTTATCATTCTACTGCCTTGTATTTATTTTATAAGAAAATATCCGACTAAAGATGGCGAAGCAAAGGAAACGAATGTACATGCGGAAGATGTTAATATGTCATTAACTGGAGCCTCATAGGAAAAATGTATGAAGACAATCTTCTAAAGGTACAAATTCAACATGCACTTACATTTAATTCTCTGTGCGACAGAAGATGGCGCTCCATATCTTTATGTGTAACGTGATAGTTATATAATAAAATTAACTTAAGGTGAATTACAGATGTTTGAAAGAATGTTAAAATGATGAAAGAAGAATAATTAATAAATTTAACGTATAGCTTAAAGTGTTGAATTATTTATCGATATTTATTTACATAAAAATTTCATTTTATTAAGAACGTTTCACCCATGCAAAGAAAAAAGGGGCGGGGCAGCAGAGAACCCGAAAGAGACAATGCAAGAGAATTGAAAGCTAATTATAAAAGACATTATGGAAATTTAAGCTAAACTTCTTGGTTTTTTACCAAAGAAAGGTACATTATCTCTTTCACTTATAGTTTTATAACTATTTAGGCGAGAGGGGGAACTGAAGGACCAAAAAGGAAAAGAAAGTGATGGAGGAGGAAGTGATTAGAAATCTATTACATTTGAGGAAATAAAATTACTAGGAGGATACATTTCACGGGAAATCAAATTTACTTGGACAATCTCGCAAAGCTTTCTATCATCTTAACTTAATTTCTAATGGATTAAAAACTTTGTAAAAAATTTCTTATCTTCTAATTAAAGAAGTAAAGGTACAAGAATTTTAGCTCTTAGCAGTCGCTTCATTTAAAATTCACAAATTACTTAATGACGTCACAAATTTTTAGAATAGAAACAGCGCAGTCGCAACAGTCAGATCGTTGCAGTCGGCTGCAAAAAGCGATTTTCTTCCACTTATTTTAACTAGAAGCTTTGGCATTTTTTGGTAAGATTTTTTTTATTATTTTAAAGTAAGAGAGAGAGAGAGAGAGAGAGAGAGAGAGAGAGAGAGAGAGAGAGAGAGAGAGAGAGAGAGAAAGAGAGAGAGAAAGCCATAAAAGGAAAATTTGATGAGATAAAATTACAAGAATTTGTATATTATATTTTTAAAGAGTTAATAGACGAGTATATTGAATGTACAATTATATGATAGAATCTATAGAATATAATAAACTCTTTCAGAATGTTTAATTGGGATAAAAATGAAACAAAAGACTTAAATATAAGCGTTTTATTTAAAAGAGTTGAATAGTACTTCCCTTTCTTTCTCTCTCTCTCTCTCTCTCTATCTTTTGCTCTTATAATATTCATAATTGTGGAAAAATAGAGATATTTAAACATTCGTATTTAAACGTTCAATGAATCGACTATGTATTTATTAGCTAGAAGAATAACGTAACTGATAGCTTTTATATTTATTAATAATTGCGCTTATTGATAAGTTTTTACAATCAAATATCCTGTTTATAGCTTTTTGTAAATGTCCTATAAAGATTGTTCATTTGTAAACATGATCGTCTTAATTTTCCCATTATAGGCCTATTAGGAATAATTTCGTCCCAGTTTACACTCTTCGTTTATAGAATATATTGGATAGCTTTATAAAGAATTTACCTAATTTTAATATTATTTGAGAGGTAAACTCTCTTATTACTTTCGGTCATGTGATTTGCATACAATGCTAATTAATTGAATGAGAAAAGAGAGTATAACTTTATCCGAGTATTACGTTTGTTTTTAGGATAATTATATATAAATATAGTATTTATACTATATATACCAGTATATATAAATTAAACTTTTGATCTGTTTGTGCTACTTTCCGATGAGAAGGTTTTCGCTAGGTTTTGAATATCATCGTCTTTGTATGGTTTTTAATTTACAATTAGGTCTATCCATCTATCTGTCTATCTATCTGGCTCTTTCTTTTCCTTTGCCTCTCTTTTCACCATTCCAACTGTCGAAACGAACTTTACGGGCATTCTTACTTTGTAAATAGTTTAAAGGTTATTACGTTCAGAGTCTAGACTATTTAAATACGAAAAATACGAAATCCGGCAAGTTGTATTCTATAAAGACAATAGAAGACAATTAATGATTGATGAAATCTATTACATAATTTAATAAATTTAATGGAAAGAGACAATATACTCTGTGTTCATAGTATCGTTTTTTTTCACTTGATGATGATTTTAAGGAGCGGCTGATCATCGCTTTTCTTCCATTATCTTGAGGGAAAAATAAAATTTTATACAAATTTCATCTATCATCCTTTGTCCCGTTTTATCGTTATTTTTACCAGCAATAGACCATTTCTTACTCTCCTTCTCTCTCTCTCCCTCCCTTCCTCCCTTATACTTTTTGGTACTTTGAACTTGCGATTCGCTCGCTTCATTTTCGCCAATTGCCGTAAGATTGCTGAGACAATTCTCTTTTCCATTTTTATAACCCTTTCCGATGTTTGTTCGATTGGCTCTTAAGGCGAAAGGAAACTTTACAATAGATATTCATTATAATCACTCACTATTTTTCAATCACTCCTTCGAAGCGTCGATTGGCGTATAAGAATAGTTTCTGATGTCTCGACGCATTCCTCAAAGAGTTGTAACTAGTTGCCGAAGCGGAAAGGCTATTTGTTGAATTAATATTAAAGAGCGGCGGGAAGTGGTAAATAGCTTATAGAGAGAGTGAGAATGGGAACAATAAATAAAAATTTTGAGATGAAAAATGAAGAAATGTCAAAGTATTGTGAGGGAGATATTAGTCTGGATGAGAGAACACTTGAGGGAGAGACGTTTCATGGTCAATAAATTGATATTTATGACTATGGAAAATGAGAAATTTTATGGAAAGTATTTCTAGATTGCGTGCTTGGCAGCACTTGATAGTTTTTAATGTTTTAACTTGATTTTTAGTTGTTCTCTCCTTTTCCCTCCCTCCCTCCCTCTCTCTAGAATTAACAGTTGCTTTTCGTAGAATCTTGCACTATAATACCCCAACTGCAAAAGAAAAATGATGTGTCATGATTAATTACTTAAAGATTGTTACGAATTTTTACGTATAACGATTAGATTAGATACGCTTGGTGGAACGATGTTAAAAGCAAAAAACAGAAATAAAATATTCAAAGCAAATCCATTAGCGCCCGACCATGGAATGGTAGCAGGGCAAACAAAAAAATAAGAGTTTTGACAAACAATTTTATCGTTAAAACAGTCATGATGGTCATAGTTCTAACAGAAGGTTTTCCCTTTTAACCTTTTTAGTTCTTGCCTTTTTATCGTCTTTTTTCGAACGTCATTAAAAGTTTCTAGGAGAGAGGAACAAAGGATAGAGTGCAATGGCGAACTGACGTACTATCTGGGAAATTATGGCAAAAGTGTAATGTATCTTGCCGTTACAGTCTTAGTTGTAGTACCTATTTGCCCCTAGAATGAAACTCTTCTTCCTTCGCCTCTCCTTCTCGTCAACCTAGACGTATCGGGTGTAAGTTGACTATTCACCTATTAATGTAGAATGAATATAACATGTTAGTATACAAATACATCTATATATGCATAAATAAGAAGCTTAGAAGAGGTTACTGGATAGAAATAAACCCTTCCGTTTCGATACATAAATGGGGATATTCTTTGTCTACCTGTGTACACATTGCGTATGAAATTTATTCGAATAAATTATTATCTAGACCTATACAGGTATACTTATACTACTGTATAGACAGTATAACAATTTACATAACAGCCCCCTCTCTCCTTCCATATTTAATACCGCTTACAAGTGGACGCATGAATGCCTTTATCCTGTAATCTACAGGTTCATATAAAACAATTGCAGTTATTGCAGATATTGAATGAATTAGTATTTAGATTCTTATTGTGTTTATCTATAGATCTGTGTGTATATACAATACTCTTTGATGGCTTGAACGCAAAGGCGTTCTTTTATTCTCTTTCCTCCTCTTTCCTAATTGCATTTGTGATAATAAAATCATCCGGCGACAGTATACTATATAGTATGTCTATCTTAATCGTATTCATTCCTAATAGCCAACCCTCTCAGTCGAGGGAATCAACCGTAAGCGTTCGACTAAAAGCAAACATAGTTACTTTGATTAGGAACTTGCCTCTCGTTTTTTTAACAGTCTCCTCCTCAAATGTGTGCCTATGTTCTATTTTAGCGAAAACAGGGCCAAGTGAGACGAAGTTAGTGTAAAATTTTTCACTAAATGACGTATTTCCATATAAAAAATTACGAATATAACAAAAACACTTCAACTACAAATTTTTTCATTAAAAAATCATATACTCAACTTCCGGTTAAACGGCGACCATTTTCGTCTCTGGACAGTTTCAAATTTATTGCTCAAAAGACCCATTAAAATATGAATGAACATTTCACATCAATCAAATTGATTTTTGTTGGTGTTTATTAATAAAAAACGAGTGAGAATTGAAAAATTGATGAATGAATTAAAAATAGAAAAAGACAAAAGAGAGAAGAGAGAGAGAGAGAGAGAGAGAGAGAGGGGGAGGGAGAGTTTGGTGAGGAATGATTAGGAAGAAAAGTAGTCTGAACAAACGCCGATAAAGAAATAAAAAGTGTTGAAAAGTTGAAAAAGTTTTTCCCTTCTCTATCCGTTTCTCTTCCTATCTATATTAAGATTAAGATAGAGGAGAACAGAGAAATCAGAGCTAATTTCAAGGCGTTAGAAAATAGAGTATGATTGATGCTAAATATTAAAAGGGTAATCGAAATTGTTGCGTGTGAATTTGATAGTTTTTTTTTCAATAGATTTTATATAATTCAAGCATCACGCAGATGAACAAAAATTTGGACTATTTGTGCAACTCTCACTTTCTCTAGCTATCTACTTAATTTGCATAATTTATTCAACAACTTTTTAAATAAGGAAGAATTTCCGGGAATATTTCATTCTTTCTCTATTTGTTCTCCTTCGAGAGAGTACCAAGGGAAAATAAAACATGTAGAAAATGGCGGGACAATGTTTTTTGTGAACCAATCAGTATTTATGACTAAAGAGAGCATACGGGGAACAGCGCACCCTACACTCTTATTTATTTTTTCAAGTAGACTACTAGTCTTTTTCCTGGCAGTCTCTGTCTTCTTCATAATCCATTATTCTTTGTTTTCCATAGTTCAAGGTGAAAAATGCACGGACGGGGTGTTTTAATTGTTTTGGTTCTATCGGCCTCTATGGTTTCGGGTCGTTTCGTTCAATCGTTGCTGAAGGAAAAGGCCATGAAACGTCTGCTGGATACTCATTCTAAAGGTATGAACTTTTTCACTTATTATTCACTTTTTAAAAGCTTTTTGCTTGTATGTTTGTATGTTTGTTTGCTTGTTCGCGTTATGTAAAACATACATTTACCAACGTAGATATAGCGACTTTATCCATTACTAATGTCTTGCGAGACCGTAGTGTAGGCTAATTAGAGTAAATGAGTAATAGAGCTAAACACTACCTTTCTAATCATTATCAGACACATCCAATTGGATTTTAAGCTAATTATAATACTTTTTGCCACTTTTCTCATATTGAATTTCCCCCCATATATTCCCAATACTTTAAAAATGATGTATTTTTGCTTTCCTACCGCAAAATCGGTCCGCCAGTCTATTTGTCTTGATAAATAAATGATGAACGGCTAGCACACTTAGGCTTTAGAAAAAAATAAACCT